TGTTAAAAAAATCAGTATCACCATCGTCATCCGGATGTACTATCCCTACTACTCTTCTACCAAGTATAGGTTTAGTTGACGGCATATCGAAATCTTTCCTAAATTGAAACTTTGGAGCACCCGTTATATCGGTCTCAATTTCATATGGTGTTTCATATTCGTCATTTGGTGAATGATTATTTTCAAATAATGGTGGAATTGGACTACCGATGTCAGGTAAACTTATTATATTATTATTAGTTAGGTCTTCATTTGGTCTTTTTTTAAGATAAAAATTATTTATTGATTTAAGTAACAACATTAAAACGCTTGATATTAATGCTAGAACCGGTATTATACTTGGTTGTATTTTGAATACTTGATATAATATCTAAATAGTAATAATAATGATATTGGTATTATTAGTAAAGATATTAATAAAGATATTAATTAGTTATAGCTTTGAATACTAACCAATACAATACATTGAGGTAAATCCTCTATAAATATAGTAATAAATTGTATCCAAAATATTCTTCTTTTAGTTTTCAGGGATATCGGGGCACTTAATGCCTCCAAATTAGCAAATCCCGAAGAGATAAAATTTAAACATTCAATATCAGCACCAGAAAATAAGGTGCAAAGTAATGCAGTTTTTGAATTTCTCCTCCACCACAATACAAAATTCGTTTCATGTGCTGTCTCATTGGAGACAAGATAAAATGTGAATAGGGTGTTTAAACAAATTGGAAATATTAAAAATACCATACTATTAAACGGGGGAAAAAATTAATATCAATAATGTAGTAGAAGAGAAAGAAAATGAAAGGAAAGATGAATTATTTTAATTGATTTTATTACCTGGCAGGGTATAACCAATCTAAATCTTCGCCATGTAATATTACAAAGGCAATATCAAATCCTAAATCAATTACTATAAAAACGAAGACAAATATTATAAAATTCCTACCCTATAAAAATCAAATAAATAAATAAAAGATTAATAAAATGATAATGCTAATCCCAATATTACTTAAATTTTTTTTAAAAAATTAAAATTTACCGTTTTGTTTAATTTTCTTGCTTTAAGATATAATGATACTAATAACAAGAGCCCAATTACCACACCAATTAATATAAATCCATATGTTTTCAACAGGTCTGC